AGAGCTAGAATGTAATTCATGATGTTTCTGGCCTATTTTATGTTTCAAGTGGTTTGCTGCATGAAATTCACTTTTACAACAGAATCAGTTCAAATACATAGAATCACAGTTGTTGAGAGCTAGAATGTAATTCATGATGTTTCTGGCCTGTTTTAGCTGTTTCAAGTGGTTTGCTGCATGAAATTCACTTTTACAACAGAATCAGTTCAAATACATAGAATCACAGTTGTTGAGAGCTAGAATGGAAATTCACTTTTACAACAGAATCAGTTCAAATACATAGAATCACAGTTGTTGAGTTCTAGAATGTAATTCATGATGATTCTGGCCTGTTTCAAGTTGTTTGCTGCATGAAATTCACTTTTACAACATAATCAGTTCAAATACATAGAATCACAGTTGTTGAGAGCTAGAATGTAATTCATGATGTTTCTGGCCTGTTTTAACTGTTTCAAGTGGTTTGCTGCATGAAATTCACTTTTACAACAGAATCAGTTCAAATACAGAGAATCACAGCTGTTGACAAGTAGAATGTAATTCATGGTGTTTCTGGCCTGTTTTAGCTGTTTCAAGTGGTTTGCTGCATGAAATTCACTTTTACAACAGAATCACAGTTGTTGAGAGCTAGAATGTAATTCATGATGTTTCTGGCCTATTTTAGCTGTTTCAAGTGGTTTTCTGCATGAAATTCACTTTTACAACAGAATCAGTTCAAATACATAGAATCACAGTTGTTGAGAGCTAGAATGAAATTCACTTTTACAACAGAATCAGTTCAAATACATAGAATCACAGTTGTTGAGAGCTAGAATGTAATTCATGATGTTTCTGGCCTGTTTTAGCTGTTTCAAGTGGTTTGCTGCATGAAATTCACTTTTACAACAGAATCAGTTCAAATACATAGAATCACAGTTGTTGAGAGCTAGAATGTAATTCATGATGTTTCTGGCCTGTTTTAGCTGTTTCAAGTTGTTTGCTGCATGAAATTCACTTTTACAACAGAATCAGTTCAAATACATAGAATCACAGCTATGCAACACAAGTAGAACGTAACTCATGATGTTTCTGGCCTGTTTTAGCTGTTTCAAGTGGTTTGCTGCATGAAATTCACTTTTGCAACAGAATCAGTTCAAATACATAGAATCACAGTTGTTGAGAGCTAGAATGGTTTCAAGTGGTTTGCTGCATGAAATTCACTTTTGCAAAAGAATCAGTTCAAATACAAAGAATCACAGTTGTTGAGTTCTAGAATGTAATTCATGATGTTTCTGGCCTGTTTTAGCTGTTTCAAGTGGTTTGCTGCATGAAATTCACTTTTACAACAGAATCAGTTAAAATACATAGGATCACAGCTGTTGAGAACTAGAATGTAATTCATGATGTTTCTGGCCTGTTTTAGCTGTTTCAAGTGGTTTGCTGCATGAAATTCACTTTTACAACAGAATCAGTTCAAATACATAGAATCACAGTTGTTGAGAGCTAGAATGTAATTCATGATGTTTCTGGCCTGTTTTAACTGTTTCAAGTGGTTTGCTGTATGAAATTCACTTTTACAACAGAATCAGTTCAAATACATAGAATCACAGCTGTTGAGAAAGTAGAATGTAATTCATGATGTTTCTGGCCTGTTTTAGCTGTTTCAAGTGGTTTGCTGCATGAAATTCACTTTTGCAATAGAATCAGTTCAAATACAAAGAATCACAGTTGTTGAGTTCTAGAATGTAATTCATGATGATTCTGGCCTGTTTCAAGTTGTTTGCTGCATGAAATTCACTTTTACAACAGAATCAGTTCAAATACATAGAATCACAGTTGTTGAGTTCTAGAATGTAATTCATGATGTTTCTGGCCTGTTTCAAGTTGTTTGCTGCATGAAATTCACTTTTACAACAGAATCAGTTCAAATACATAGAATCACAGTTGTTGAGAGCTAGAATGAAATTCACTTTTGCAACAGAATCAGTTCAAATACAAAGAATCAAAGTTGTTGACTTCTAGAATGTAATTCATGATGATTCTGGCTCAACCATGCAGCCTGTACTTATTTACTGTCAAAAAATGACAACAGTGGGGAGGGTCTTTTCTTACTTCAAGGGGGAACTGCAACAGTACGCCTGGGTAGACTGTGATCAAGAGCATAAACGTGAGAACCTCCTGATAGGTATGTTTCACAGCAAGTCCCTCCCCCAAAACAAGGAGAGAGTGTTGGCTTCACTGAGGGGGCAAGGGAATTGCCGTGTAGTAGTTGCAACAACAGCTTTGGGAATGGGCCTGAATTTCCCTAATGTTTCACATGTGGTGATGTATGGTGTTCCAGGGGACCTAGAGTCCATAATACAACAGGTGGGGAGGGCTGGAAGAAATGGTCAGCCAGCTCATGGCATCATATACAACACTGGAAAGAATTATAAGACTGAAGAAGAGGTAAAAGAAGGGCTTGCTCTTCGCAATACATGTTTCAGGAAAATTATTTTCTCACATTTTGAGGCTGAACCCAGCCTTGTAGAACCAGGCCATCTATGTTGCACTTACTGTCATACTGTTTGTTCTTGTTCATCTGGCACATGCAAAGAACCCACCCCAGATTATGAACAGATTCAGGGCAAGCCGGTTAAGTTTGTTTCCCTCGGGCAAACTCAACATAGGTCTGGTTTGGGGCCTTCTTGTGGCCTCTGAACCGCTGCCGATAAGCTTCAGCGACCAGCTGATAAGAACGTAAAATAGCGGCTTTAACAGACTCATATTGCATGCTTTCCTCCAGAGACAGAGCAGCAGAAACTTCTGTGCTTTCCTAGTTAACTTACACTAGAGCAATGTGGTCCAAAGCTCAGGAGGGCAATTTATAGCCTGGGCTATGTGTTCAAAAGCAGAAAAATAACTATCAATATCAGTTTTACGAAAGTTTGGAAAAAGCGAAACGGGTTGGACCGGGCTGTGGGCTGGCTCAACATCAGCAAAGACCCGGCTAGGGTTAACAGGAAGACGGCCTTCTGCCTCCAGCTAGAGCTGCCACATTTTCAGAGCAGTCTCGACCTCGATCTCAACCTCTTGAGTCGGTATTGAAGTCCCAATACCGCCTTTCCCTCTCCCGTTCCTCCGCTTCCCCACCCAGGCACTCCACATGTACTCTGTGCCACCTACAGACCTGGGGAAAACAGGATGGACTACTCGGTGAGTGGTCCCAAGAGAAACGGGTCGGGTGATCAGGCCAGGCCAGGATGACGGGAGCAATGTGGTGTCTGGTGGTATTTGACTATAATGATGGCATTTTAACAGCCCAGTTACGATTACTTTTGGTAAAGATTCAGCTGCTATCTCCCTCTTAAAGGGCTTTGTAACCATAGACTTGAAATTCTGAATAAGTATACCCAAGTCTTCCTCTGTCAAACATAATGAGTTCAAATGTAAGTGTATGTATTTGTGTGTGAATGGGTTCTTACAGATGTATGTGTATACAAAATGCAAAGAAAATGCATCCTCACATGCTGTTTTTAATGCACAACATAAGATTCCCATCTCAGAAGGAAAGACTTGGTTACAAATAAATTATAGTCCCTTCGGCAACTTTGCCCTGGTTTAACTTTAGTCATGGTAGCCACCACCATTGTTGTCTTCCTTGACATCTACACCCTTTGCGCATTCTCTCAACGGACACTTAAATCATGATCAAACACACAGACATAAAACCAACTTAAAGACCATGTGCACACAGACAGAGCACGCACGCACACACACGTTCCCTTTTGTCTCCTGTCAAACATCCTTTTGGACCAGCACGTTATGTTTCTTTGTGCCTTTTTGTATGTCATTATGTTTTCATATGTTTGTCTCTTTTTTCTGTATTGCTGAATAAAATGTTAATAAAAATAAATAAAATAAAAAAAAATAAAAATAAAAAAAATCTTATCGCATCCTACAGAGGTAAGATTAAATAATGTTGCGCACGAAAATTCACTTATTCTATCAAAATGTAGTTCTTGATTTTTTTGTTTTTTGTCATATACATGGGAAATGTGTACAAATACTGTGAATGCTGGTTCTACGACAGTTTACCCTTAGAAAGTCGGCCGATGTTTGCCAAAACTGTTCTGACGAAAAAATTTGGCAAATAATATATCTGGGTTGGCCTCCCGCACAAACCAGTGATTAGTGAAATGGAACTACAGACTCTGCTTAGATATAAAAGGTTTAATGTATAAACAGAATACAGACAAATTACAGACTAAAACTATAGCCCGGGTCCCGCTAGATGGAATAGCAGAATGACCCCGAACACAAAAAGCAGCGAGCTCTTATAGAAATTAAGAGAGTCACAAGACACTAAACAAACCATACATACATTGTATTGCAGTCTCCTGCCATCCCATGACAGGCCTCTGTCTGAGATGCTATTGTCCTCCCAGAGTCACATGAAATATTATGAGCTGTGGTGGTGGTCAGCAGTCTTTAGCAATTGAATGCTGACATGTCCCATCACATTCTAAACATATGAAGACCCATACAGTACATGTATTAATATGCTAATAAAACACACTTTCTTAAACACATACCCTATCCAGTTCTTATCAAAGATCCAAGGGCTTGACCCGTTCGTAAGCAAACGCTTGATCAGAAATTAGAGTTATTGTGATTTTTGCTGCATCAATCACAGCAGAACACAGCTGGACACAGCACAGCAGGGCAAGAAGTGGAAGCACATTTCATTAACGAGGGGCTGCATTTGCTACGGCAGTCGTGGTGCAGTTGATCGAAGCAGATGTGGCTACAGTAGGTGTGTTTACAGCAGCTGTAGGTAAGTGGTGTGGCATTGTTAAATGTGCCATTCCCATACAGATCAGGGCCCATACTGTTCACATTGCCTTAGTGATGCAATTATTTGGATTCAATTCCCCCATAAACATGCTCATACTTACCCATGCCCAAATTTACAAATAAAAAGCCATGTGTGTAAAAGTAAAGCCAACACTCAGCATAAGTGGTACTCTTAAGTATTTGCATTGTTATGATGAAAGAAGGGGCTGTCTTTCCACAGCTGTACTCTGCAAAGTCACATAAATCAAAAAATTACAATGAATACATTTTTTTAAATATATATATATAACTAGAGACAAGTTGTTTAAAAGGATAAATTATGCATATCAACGTTTTTGAGATTTCAGCCATGTTACAACATTATTCCCTCATAAAGAAATATCTTGTCACAAGCATGTAACTCCTCCCTTTTCGTCTAAAACTTTTTCTCAAGGATTTATATATCAAGCCTTTATTTGTTATGATTTTAATAGTTGGCCCACAGTTCGAAAGTAATAAATAAAATATATTAGAGTTAGAATAAACCAAATGTTTTTTGTAATTTTGATGATTATGGCTTAAAGACCAAAGGCTTAGCCTAACATACCAATGACGTAATTGTACCCCAATGACATTACATTTGACAATTTGAAAAAAAAAAAACTAACTCAGACAGAAGGCACTTTTTTAGCCTCGTACTTCTTTCACCATATTTTTTTTCTACTTATTATTTCACATTTTTAGACAAGAAGTAACGTCTCAATATATATTTTTATTTAAGAATTTAATTTACCTGAGGAATCTTCTGTCGGCACATGAGCAACATGTAGAGCAGGCCGATGAGGATGCCCAGTCCAATCAGCATAAAGGGAACATTCACTAGAACGGTCTGCACCACCGTGACACTCTTTAGCTTCAACACAGAGGCATCGTCAATGACAACACTCTGAGACACAACAAGAGAAAAGTTCAAGTATAAATCTATAAATGTACAGTTTGTGTATAAAATTTGCCCTACAAACCTCATTGAGCCATACCACAGGGAAAACCACAGTCCTCACATTACCAGTTTGACTGGAGGACAAAACAATTTTAATTCACATACCAAAATAATCAGAGCATTTACATAACTGTATATAGTTTATGATGTACAGTATGTTTGGCTATATTGAAGCTGGAGTCCCTTGTCAGGTATTCCAGCTTCAATATAAAGCTGGGGTACCTTGCTAGGCCGTGTGTGATAAGTTAAAGTGATTGTCTGGAGTTTGTCAGAAAGAGAGACAGAGAGGTACTTGATTTGAAAAAAACGACGCAAGCTCCCTCCCCCTTCCTTTCTGATTGGTCTACACCTACGTTTCCGTAACACTTTGAAATGTTAACCAGAGAACACATTATACATATACATTATTAATACACATGCACGGAGGTTTTCAGAATTATTTGTAAACGTTTTAATGAAAAAAATAATGTTTTTATGCACAAAAAAAGCGACAAACCAGGAAGTGCTATTATCATGAATTGCACATTATAGGACACATCTGCAGAGGATCTGATTATGGATATACGTTCAGTATATACATAAGTACCTGAGCGCGGATGTTCAGAATTCTTTGTTCAGTTTTCATGTTGTTCCAGAGCCTAATGGAGACTTGATTCGGAGGCTCCGCGAAAACAAACAACTGCGCATGCGCGCAGCTGCGAGCAGCAGCGCCGATGATTGATTCGATTGGTTAACCTCGACGGCACCGTGGATTCTGAACTATAGCTAAGAGAAGGGAAGGCGGGACTTGCCCGTAATATTAGAATTAATAAAATGACTTATTTTATATCAACATTTAAGGCCAGGAGGTCAATTTAGCACATTTCCTAAAATTTGTAATTCATTTAGAGTTACAGACTATCACTTTAATAAATGTATTACAACTTAATTAATATTTAAAGTGAGTGTCAGTTACTTTCCAAACTGAGAAGAGGGGGCTTTCTGAAGACAAGTATTGATTAGACCTGCCCATGTGTAACGCCTTGGTCTAAGGATCTGACTGGGCCGAAGATAGAGGGCAGGGCTTTCAGACTAGGTTCGCCTACCGGAGCCAAAGCGAGTGAATAAGAGACAAAACGAGTATTTGCGGTTTCAAGTATGTATATATATTGTTTTTCAAAAATGATTTGCATATATAATATATATAATAACCAGGTATGGTATAATGAAAAGGTGTAACAATTAGTTGGCAGGGTATAATAAAATATTACTAGTACAATAGGTATATAATAGATAAATACGTTATATTATAGATTACAAGGTATAATTAATATTATATTATAATATGTATGGAATATATTATATTATCTATTAATTATAACTCAAACCAAAAAACAAAATCAAAGAGTCAGTCCAAATCTTGAAACAAAAAGGAAAAAACAAAACTGAAATGTTCACCAGGTCTTGATTCACAGTTCAATCCTTTTTAGAGTTCAGTTCATTGAAGATCCATATTTCACGGAAAGTTCATATATCCAAGTTCGAAAACAACAAAAGGTGTCCTACCGCGATACAGCGGGGGTTGGGTAGCTCGCCATCAAAGAGAGTTTCAGAGGTACACAAAAAAAAATCTGACCGGTGAGTAGGGGCAATTTACAGAGTCCGAAAAAGGATCCTTGGAGGTTATGAGGGTGGATCAATAAGTAGAGAAAGGGACGGATCACACACAAATGGGTCCGCAGGACCACATGTTGATATTAAGTTTTAGTTTGCTTGTTTGAGAGTTTTCAAACAGCGCCACAACAGATAGCAACGTGAGGGCTGCTGACAGCTATCAACTAAAGCTGTGTGAGAGGACGTGACGCGGGGGAGCGGCTCCTATATGGGAAACGGGTCTGCCAAAATAAAAGTGGGGCAGGACGCGGCTCAGCTAGGGACCCAGGTTACACATGCTTATCCCCACAACTTCCTAATTGGACAAAATGAATTCAAATCCTTTGTCAGAGGTTTAAAAGGAGGGACTGTTTAAAATGTATTGAAAATGTTTTTTTGTTTGAAAAATATCAGCTAATTTAGTAATGAATTAGTTTTTTGTACCATACATAGCTTATACATCTTGAGAAGATGTTTTAGACTCCAATAATTCCATGAAGACTGAAGAATTACATGAAAATATGTTTGAAGTTATTCTTTATCCCAAATCATATGTATTAAAGTACAAATGTATCAATTACATGAATTTATTTCATAGTTTTTTGTGGTTTTAAATAAGGTACTCCAGCTTTAACATGTGTATAACACCTGCAAAATCCACTTACCCAAAACGAAAAGACTTACCTGAAAACACCAATTTTCTGTACAAAGACATTGACTTGAAGGCGCTTGGATGCTTGCAGAACAATTCCAGTCAACTACACAAAAAACAGGTTACAAATATTATAATTCCTCCACATTATTTTTGTTCTATACTTTGTTAAATGCAGCAATATGCTTTGTTAATATGTTCATAGCAGTTTACAACCCCACCAACACCACAGATTGTCCCCAGTTTTAAATCCCATCTACACACCAAATTTGGCTGAATCCACTCAAATCATTTTTGCATAATCCTGCTACAAACACACACGCACTCACAGTGGCGCCAAAAGGGCATATGTACTGTATGCCTAGCATAAGGGCGCAAAAACGCTTGAAGGAAATACAATTAAATAATAAATATTAACCGTGCGCAATGGAGAGCGCCCCATCTTGATTGGTTCCGCGGCACTTGACAGCAGTAGCCACTCACTTTAGAAAACTTGTTTGAGAATAGAAATAAAAAGAAATCCACTAAATATGCACATGTAGCTAGTTAGTGTACCCATCGCCATGGTCGTTTACGTTTGCTCTCGGCTACAGCGCATGTCCAAATGTACGCGTGGGGAAGTGGGGGTCATAGCAGTAGAGAATTCACACCTGAATCTTCACGCGGGTGTGAAAGATCGCCCCGCTGAGCAGCATATATGAGCTGTCCCATAAACACAGCTTATAAAGGAAGCAAGTAAATGTACAAATTTGCCATTTAGGGGTAAAAAAAACTAATGACAAATTACTATTAATTATATCAATCATATAAGAAGTGGTAAATATACTCAACTTAAACTTAACATAGAGTCTTTGTGCTCATCCAAACACACTGGCGCCATTTCACTGATGAGACACCAGGTTTGTTTGGAAGGGGGCTCAAAAATTAGATGAAAACTTACACCCTTGTAGCCACCCTTACTTTTCCTCCTTTCACCCCTCCTCGGTCTGGAAAAATTTCAGACTGGGGTTTTGTTCAGGGCAGAAGGGCTTAGCGTCCCCCTCAGAGTTTCTGGCTGAGCTCTTCTCCACAACTTGGATTCACTTTATGCAATTATCATGTATGTATTTCATTACGTCAATAAATCACACAATGTCACTAGTTTACCTCGGATCATTCTAAATTTTGCCATAACAAAACCCAACATACCGGATTAAGATCAATGGAAGTTTGGTGCCATTCTTTTTTAGGCCTCATTCCAAATACGTCCTGAATATATTTATTGTCGCCTTGGTAGAAGTGGGGGGAAGACATCAAAATTGGTGCCCCTAGACACATACATATAAAATGTAAGTTTAAAACTGATACATTGTGGAATAAATAACTGTTCTCTTTTAGGCCGTGACAATAATACAATCAAATAATTTTACAGAATGTAATAGTATAATTTACCTTGTTTACACACGCTGACGTTGAGTACTCCTGAGCCCAGGCAGTTCCCAGCTGGGACACAAAAACCAGCATTTTCTGGGTTCTCTGTTAAATTTGCAAAGACTTTACTGGGAGGACTGAAGCGGTATCCAGGGATGCCTTTAACAATAATATCCTCCTCATATTCTGCATAAAGAGACCTGAGAAAATGGAGAATAATCACAAAACAAATAGAAAGAAAAAAATACATACACAAGTATGTAATGCATAAATATGCTTGTATATGCCACAGAACAGGGCATTATCAAGACGCGAGAGTTGGTTGTGCAGGGAGCTCGTAAGATGCGTGGTAAACTGAAGTATAACGATGTCCCTTTCCACATTTTTGAGTACTACAGCCGCGAGGTTTTAGAGAAGTGCACGCCGTACCAAATCATTATGAAGAAGCTATACGAGATGGGCCTCAAGCCTGCCCTGCGATACCCTGCCAGGCTCTTCATTGTGCTGAACGGCGGTAAAAAAAAAGTTTTGAGGACTTTGAGGACTCTTGGAATCACCAGGACTCTACTTCACCCACGGAGCAGGACTGACTTTCGTTTCTTTATAGTTGTATGTAAGCGTTTAGCACTACAAGCTAATGATTGTACGGCCAATGCTACCTGGCCACAATATGCTAGCTAATGTATTTAACAAAGAAGCTCAGCTTAGCTTAACTAAACTCACCAGTAATTATTATTTGAGCCAATCTCTATTATTAGGCCCAAGCCCCGACTGGGGTAGGGGCCTATTGCTTTCATAATAGTGACTCTTTATGAAACCCAATAGGCAACCCAATAGTTGTGTTCTTCTGCTTGTTCGATTTAAAACAGTGTATCATTTGTATTATCGGTTACTATGGAAACCTATATTGTTTTTGCCCGTACATTTTCGGAAAAAAATCCTTATTAGGCCCGAGCCCCGAACGGGGTAAGGCTTTTCACAATGATTTTAATGCAAATGGTGGCGGTGCGTGACGGACGCATCAGCGCCCGTCACTCACCAAAACGTGACGGTTGCGTGCGTAAACTCAAACACTTTAAAATTATGTATCAGGTGCCATTGAAACCTATATTGCTTTTGCTCGAGACGTCAAAAAAAAAATCCTTTTTTATTAGAACCGAGCCCCGAACGGGGAAAGGGCCTATTGTTTTTGCTCGAGAGATGTCAAATTCTGCACTTTGAGCCTTAATTTCACCCCCTGAACATGCATTAAAAGTTGTAAAATTTTGCCCAAACATCAGACCTGGTGAAAGTTTTTATATTTTGGTGTTTATTTTTATGGGACTCAAAAAATGCCAGAACAGCGCCACCTACAACAGCCAATAGGAGTTTCAGAGGTCAAGTTTGTCGTAGAGCCATGAAATTTGGTACACGTGTTCCTCAAGTCAAGATACGACCAAAATGTTATCATGGCTCCACACTCTGACAAACAGGAGGCCCATAAATTTAAATGCAAAATGGAAAAATGATCCGCAATAATTTTCATACATGTCGGTTGGAAAGCGACTCCTCCTCGGCCGTTTCACCGATCAGCCTCAAAATTGCTCCACATCATCCCAACACATATACCATGAAAATGACCTCAGGGATTTTTGATCAGTGAAACTTTGAGCAGCGGAGCGGCAAAATGTGACCTTTTTTGGCCGTTTTTGACATAAAGTTTGCTCTCATTTGCACAAAGTCTGATTTTGACATAACTTGAAACCAATGTTCATCTCCAGGGTTTAAGTCAGGTGAAAGTAAAATATTTTAAATTGGCTCTTTAGCGCCCCCTACAGACTGAGGCAAAGTTTTACATGGGGAGCCAAACCAGCTCAACTGATCATATTCATTACAATTTGACACACATTCTTCTATGGCTACGGGAACAAATTATCACACGGCGGCGCCACCTCCTTTGCGTGGTACGGTGTGGTACGACTTAGTGCGGGGCATTATGGAGCGGCGTGGTGCGGGGCGGTGTGGTTGGGGGCGGCTTTGTGTGGGTCAGCGTGGTGTGGGGCAGCGTGGTGCAGGGCGGCTTGGTGCGGGGTGGCGTGGCGCGGGGTAGCGTGGCGCGGGGTAGAGCGCGCGGTGCAGGGAGTTGCGCGATGCGGAGAGGGCCGTTCGATGCCGCTATATCCTCTAAGACCTATATCACATTCTAGCCTCTGCAGTAGAATGCTGTGGTCTATTGTGTCAAATGCAGCACTAAGGTCCAGTAGGACCAGCACTGACACTTGTCCATTATCAGCAGCTAGTAGTAAGTCATTTGTGACTTTGACTAGTGCCGTTTCAGTGCTATGATGAGCTCTGAATCCTGATTGAAAGACTTCAAACATATTATTTTCCTGCAGGTGGCAGCGAAGCTGCTCAGCTATAAGTTTTTCCAGGATTTTAGATATAAAAGTGAGGTTTGAGATCGGTCTGTAGTTTGTAAGTATTTCTGGGTCCAGGTTTGTTTTCTTCAGAAGGGGTTTGATTACCGCGGTTTTAAAAGCTTGTGGGACATAGCCACATTGTATGGATGCGTTTATTATATTTACGATAGGCTCAATTATCAAAGGAAGTATGTCTTTGAAGAGCCATGTCGGGACTGCGTCTAACATGCAAGTTGAGGCTTTTGAGGATGTGACCACAGAGATCACCTCTGCTTGGCTCACAGCTATGAATTTATCGAGGCCCACTGAAGAGTCTAAGTGGGAAGTCACGTATGCCGCTTCAGCCTGTCCACTACCAACAGCAGGAGTAACCTCCTCCAGTTTGTCACGGATGAATGTAATTTTATTATTAAAGAAGTGGAGAAAGTCGACACTGCTCAGTGAGCTTGGAATTTTAGGCTCGATTGCGCTATGGCAGTTTGTGAGTTTAGCGACGGTGTTAAACAAAAATCTACTGTTATTTTTATTCGCTTCTATTAAAGTTGAATAGTATTGAGTTTGAGCCCTGCGAAGGGCATTCTTATAGTTTCGGAGACCTGCTTTCCACTCCCTGTGGACAGGCTCCGAGTGGGAGTGGCGATATAGCCTCTCCAATTTTCTGACGTCCTGTTTTAAAGTGTGGAGTTGAACACTGTACCAGGGCGACGATGATCTAATCCTAATAGTTTTCTGTTTTAAAGGAGCTGCTGCATTTAATGCAGATTTTAAAGACTCCATAGTGTTGCCCACCGTTGGTCAATGACTGAGGGACTGCAGCAGCTGTGAACAGGTTCACCTGCAGCAGTATTCAACATAGGCTGCATTAGTTCTTTGAACCTTGTGATAGATTTATCATTTAAGGTTCTTTTCATTATGGTTTTATCTTGCGGGACAGGAAAGTCCTCCAAATCGAGATCAAACGTGATCAAGAAATGGTCAGACAGCAACGAGCTTTGACGCTGGATGTCAACATTGGAGACATCACAGCCGTAGGTCAGGACAAGGTCCAAGGTGTGGTTATGAATGTGAGTAGGTTCATCCACATTCTGAGTAAAACCAACACCGTCTAGTACGGCGCTGAAAGCTTTGTTTAAGCTGTCAGTGCTGTAGTCCACATATATATTGAAGTCTCCAGTTATAACTATGTTTTCCCATTCCAAAACTAGGTTTGAAATGAAGTCAGAGAATTCTGTAAGGAACTCGCTGTAAGGACCAGGAGGTCGGTATAAAACTATAAATAGCACCGCTTTTTGTTTTCTCCACCCAGGACAGGTGATTGAAAGTGTTAAGTTTTCAAACGAGTGAAAAGCATTGTTGGTTTTGGGACTAAGAACTAAGTTGGTGTGTGATATAATCGCAACACCACCGCCGCGACCTGTAGTTCTCGCTTTCTGGTAGTTAACATGCGTCGGAGGAGTGCACTCATTCAATCTAACGTAGTCGTCCTGTTGGAGCCAAGTCTCCGAGAGCGCAAACAAATCCAAGCCCTTGTCTATAATAAGTTCGTTTATGAGAAGCGATTTAGACGAGATTGATCTGACGTTCATTAAACCACATTTAACAACCCTACTTTTAAAACTATTTCTGTCTGTCTGAACTTTTATTAAGTTACTGTGTCTGACACCCAGGTCAGATTTCCTCGCATATAGTGCTTTAGACTTCAAGCGAGGAACACACACAGTTTCAATCTGACTAGCTTCTGAGGCTAGTAACTGAACAGATGGGGGCTAAGAGGTTGTGGCAGAGCAGCTCTGCACCCGGGCCTCAGTTCTGCACCGTCATTTGAGCCGGGCAGAACAGTTTAGAGCCAGGGCCAAATTCTTAGCCAAAAGGGATGTACCCGCCAACGTTGGGTGGATATCATCCGAGCGGATGAGACCGGGCTTTCCCCAAAAGGCACTCCAATTGTCAACATGAACAACACCACTTCGAGGGCACCAGCCAGACAGCCAGCGGTTGAAAGCCGAGTGTCGGTTGGAAAGCGTCTCCTCCTCGGCCGTTTCACCGATTGGCCTCCATATCACTCCACATTGTCTAAACACATGTACCATCAAAATGACCTCAGGGATTTTTGATCAGTGAAACGTCGTTTGAGCACCGGAGCGGCAAAATGTGAGTGTTTATTGGCCGTTTTTGACAACATTCTATTGTCTTTGCCTCAATCCTACAGATTGAGGCAAAGTTTTACAAGGGGTGCCAAACAGCTCTAATCATTATATTCATTACAATTTGACAAACGTTCTTCTATGGCAACAGCAACAAATCATCACACGGCGGCCCCACCTCCTTTGCGCGGTGCTGCGTGGTACGGTGTGGTGCAGCGTAGTCCGGGGCGTTGTGGAGCGTCGCGTTGCGGCTTGGTGCGGGGCGGCATGGTGCAGATCCGCTTGGTGCGAGGCGGCTTGGTGCGGAGCGGCTTGATGCTGGGCGGCTTGGTGCTGGGCGGCTTGGTGCGGGGTGGTGCACGCAGTGCGGGGTGGTACTCGCGGTGCGGGGTGGTGCTCGCGGTGCGGGGTGGTGCTCGCGGTGCGGGGTGGTGCGCGCGGTGCGGGGTGGTGCGCGCGGTGCGGGGTGGTGCGCGCGGTGCGGCGAGGGCCGTTCGACGCCGCTTAAGCTTTAATTTCTTTCTCTTTTCTTCTGCACTTTGAGCCTTAATTTGACCCCTTGAACATGCATGAAAAGTTGTTAAATTTTGCCCAAAAATCAGACCTGGCGAAAAATTTGATATTTTGGTGTTTATTTTTATGGGACTCAAAAAATGC